ATTTTTGAATTGAGCTAACGATTCTTTATATATTAGATATCGCTATAAATCATTGGAGGAACGATAACGTTAAAAGAGTGGATGTGAGACATAAATTTCCCTTGCAAATTCGAGATATAGTCCATGTATTCTCACCTATCCTGATACATTCTGGTTGTCAAAACATGTGTGCGCATGGAGCAAATGGAGACTCTAATTTCACTGAAGCAGCCGACTGAATTGCCTACTACATTCCATTTATTTTTCATTCGATTTTTTCATCCACATGTCTAATGTAGTCCCAGTCATTCCTCATAACACAATAAACATGTCATACTCTCCCTATGTGGACTTTTTTTCATACTTTTACGTAAGTGTTCGGGATGTGGAAAGGTCATTAAGCCTACATTCACGAAGTGTTTCTGCAAAATGTCTAACTCATTAGCTGCTGTGGACAATTAGCAATCTCCTGTGCCTCAAAAATTTTCTGGTCGTCCTAACCACCTTTATACATCAATCTTGTTCGCGAGTCGATAATGACATGTGTAAGCTACCGTTCTCAAAAATCCACAATTTGCAACTTTGGCAATTTCAGGATATGAATAGCACAGAATTCTCGGAGCCTCCAACGCATTTATTCAGTGACTACGTCGAGATGGCTTATCTAGCAATACTCGTAATTCTTGGCATACCACTCAACGTGTTCATACTTCTGAAACTAATCAAGGATATGAAATATACCCAAAAAGATTCAGTGAAGGTGGGCCGTTTTTGACAAACAAATATATTTACTACCTAAGTGACACATACATAAGCTAAATGTGTCTATATAGTCTTATCCTAGCGCATTCCTACTCGTCTCTTCATAAAACGATTGTTAGCAAGGTGCATAACATTTGGAGAAAATTTTGGCCTTTCTTGATGTCCGAAAAGTACTGATGTATCCTTTCCCGTTCTTTTCTTTGGAAGCCCGAAGTTTTTGCCATCGTTATCGTTATGACTGCTACTGTCACACTTTGGACCAAATCAAAAGATTATTCGATTATCCGAATAAATCATTCGAATGCGAACGATTCGAAAATCCGATTATTCGAAAATATGAGCTTTTGAATGATATTCGATAGTCGATTACTCGCAATTTTTCATTTTCGAATATTATTCGATAGTCAAACACTCGAAAAAATTTTCGGAATCCCCTAAGTTTAATACCTATAGGAAAAGAAAGACTGCGAGAGAGATGAATTGAGCGGATTCACATCAAACGATTAGGGGATTCGCGTTTGGTGAAAGAAACCTCTGCCTCTACTAAGCCTCGAAAAAGGAACATTTAACTGAAATCCTAGGCAGTCATAGGCAAAGCAGCGCAGATAAAATTGTTTTGTGTAGCCAAGAACCAAAAATCATGTGTTTTTTCACATTTGAAATATATGACATAAAAAGGTGAAATCTTTGAAAGATTGACTTAAATGCGTGAAGCGACCGCCGGATAAAAAAAGAAGAAAGCTTCGATTCATGGCACAAAGAGCTTCGACTGAACACCTCAACAAATCTCTATGGAAGTATAGTTCCCACTTTCTCCTGCGTTCTGCAGTCAGAACCAGACAAAAATCTGGAGAGAAGAGCACTGTCACGTTCTGAATCGAAAAAGACTAATCCTTAGCAAAAACTTTTTGAGCATCTCCGCATCATATGAATCCTAGCCGTTGAATTTGAAATGCATAGCTCACTTCCATCTTTTTTCGTCTTGTTTGAAACTTTATGTAGAGTGCAAATATGCGACTGAAGAAATAAACCCATTTTAATAACGGTTCACGTTTGCGAAGTATGACTGTCATCTCATATTTCATTACAAAAAGACTAGGGACGCGGGAAGACAAAGTGGATCACGTCATACGGACAAGCAGCGACAAAATGCAAGAAAGAAGGCAACTATTTTTCTTACTAACGGTTCACATATTTTTCTCTTATATTCATTTCATTGTTTTCATTGCCTCCGGTCCACAACTTTTTGCTTTGCAGTCATAATTATCCTTCTTTCGGGAATAAGAGACAGAATTGTATATGATCTGCGTCCATAAGAGCCTACGCATCCTATGGGGAAGTAGTAAGATGGCCCACTTTACGGCTCAAAACTTTTATTTTTGTGACCGTTAATTAGCGGTGCCTCTGTACCCGGGCATTTCACAAAATTTGAAGATGACTGAATTTTGGATAGAAGAAAACTGAAGGCGCGGTCGAAGCAGCTGGAAATTGACTTAACATCAAAAAATCCCCTAACAAGTGAATACGTAGATGACATTTGATCAACTATGCTATTCGAATTCACGATCTCATGTCAAAATAGTTCATATTTGATTTGCTTAGAATATCGAATGCATGTAAGTCCAAAACCTGAGAATCCATTTATGTAAAGGGGTCAAAAACTTGATGTATTCACTTTGATTAGAAGGGGAATGGTACAATGCTGCCCCAGAAGTCTTGATTGCAACTGTATCCCAGTGAGCGAAATTTTAAGGGCAGGGCAAACTTAAACCCACATCAAAGCTGCTTAACAAGAACAGTTCACGCTCAGAAAATCTTCACACAATTTTTCAGGCTGGATTTCTGCTGCTCAAGGTACATTTGAATGTGTCCGATATTTTAATGCTATGCATAGCTTGTGGTAAACTGCTCTGGTTAACTACGTACTATTGGCCTGGTGGTGATATATCATGCCGTGTATATTTCTTCCTTTCGATGGCAGCTCTTTGCATATCATCAAATATTGTCGTTTGCATAGCACTGGATCGTCTCAGGAATGTACTCTATGCTGATCAATTACATACAGGTTATAAAAAGGTATGAATGATCTTTAGTTATGTTTGCAGCTTTTGCGTGATATTTTCGTGAAAAATCTGCAAAAACAATCTTTTTCTTCTCACTGCTATTCATAGACTCAAATAGCGTGCTAGCTGTATAGACTAACTAACTGACATGAAAAGTGATGAT